GAAAACAGAATGCTTAGAAATCCTTAAAGCATGTGTATTATCCCTATATTTTGAATCTATAATTAAAAATAATTATATTTGAAAAACTAATTTGAGTATGCGAACTTGAAGCATATTTGAGTTTTCAAAACCAAAATGAAATAAACAAAGCCTCTACCCCGAAAAAAATCAAAAGAAATAGTTGCTATAGAATATTTTCAATAGCGTACTCTCTTACCCTCAGGCATAAGCAACAAACTCTTACCCTCAGGCATAAAAATAGTTTCTTGTTCTCCAAACAGCTCTTCCAAGTCTTCGTTTACTTCTTCGTAAGACCCAAAGAATGGCAAGAATTTATATTTACTTTAATATATTCATGTTAAAGAAAATATAAAGATGGTGAGACATCTCGAGATCATATGTCATTCAAGTGCTTAAGTTCATGATTATCAAAATTTTACAATTACTTTATGCATCCCTTTTCAATAAACAACGAATATTTAACTCAAGAATATTTTAAAAGCATAACGTATGAGGTTTAGTATTTGTTTATAGACACTTCCTATTTGGAACTGAGTTAGTGCGGTTCTACACTGAATAAAGCAAATACCCAAATACTAGAACTCTTAAGTCGATAAGTCTCCTAATCATCCTGTTTTCACCTTCTAATTGCAATAAGCACAACTCGAGCTAAGTAAAAGCTCTTTATTAACGTCTACCTGACGGTTAAACAAAACTAAGACAGTAAAAGAAATTAACTCTTAAGCTTGCGGAAAGTGTAGAATAAACGTTTGAGCCAAATTGACATACGTAAATTTACACATGTCAACGTAAGCTTTCTCTCAGGGCCTAGATATTCGCGAAGCAAATGCGGCTTATCAAAGCTAAGGCCGATAAATCAGTTCGAGTAGTAAGAAGGCAGAAACAAAGTCAGAAAGTCTGGCAAACTCAGAACTCAAAAATCCTGCATTTAATTAACTGCATTCTGATGGGAGTTGATGACAGTAAAGTCAAAATAATAAGATTAGGAATAATAAGCACTAGTTAATATAAAAACCCCATATCGATTTTGTTTTCCAAATAGAGTAAAATATGGGTTGCCAACTAAAATATGTTAAGAGTACTGATAAAAGTATACGATGTTAAACATGTTCTAAATAAGGAAATTATTGAAACGCTACCCACGTAATCAGTTCTGAAATTCTACCAAATCTTAAATCATATAATCTTTAAAATTGTATAATCTTATATAATTTTTGAGAAAGTAGAACAACATGCAGTAATTTAAGACTGAATATTATTTATTTGAATTAAAAAAATAATGTCCTTATTCCCACGTAAATTAAGATAAACTGTCGCCCAGACGGTATAGTGGTTAGGGGAGTGTGCTGCGGTACCGCAGGGCCTGGGTTCGAATCCCGGAGAAAACATAGATGCTTGTAAATGTATCATGTTCGTGCGAGGGGAGCACTGTAAATATGCGGCGACCCGAAAGTCCTCTCGTGTGGTTTGGTGGAAGGGGAGAGGAGTGGGAAACCCTCGGACCTGTAGTGGAAACAATTTGAAGAGTGAACCAACATTTAAGGTTTTCAACACAAAAGGCCAAAACGAAATGAACAGCCCTTCTGCTATAACGCCTTTTGGGCTAATAATAAACTTAAAACAATTGATGGAATCAGATTTTACATTTACGTCCTAGGTTTATTCCAAATAGTATTTCCCCCTGGATTAAGCACGATACAATAGTTATTCCTGAGATATTAAACATTCGGAGTTAAAATTATTAGAATATTTTTAGACAGGAAGATAAACAATAATTCAGGTATGCAATTTTCCTTTTCTACACATTACCTACAATTGTAAAGCTACACATGAAAATTTCAACTTCCGATACGTGCGTACTTCGTTTCCAGAAATAACCGAAATTACAGAGCTGCACTTTTTGAGTGGATATTTAATTAATCTAAGGCAAATACTTCTTTTTAATTATTTCATATAACCACTAAGTCTCCCTGGAAGAAGAAAAAGAAATATCGTCAAATTCTCAGTGGAAATAAGCTTAGGAGAATGCTCAGTTAACATTATTCCTTTCAGAGGTCACTGGTTTTCAGAGGTCACTGTAGAATGACAAGAATTTAATTATGCTTAAGAAATGAAACAGGGACGATTAAACTATTTGACGTTAAGTTAGATACTCACTATTTTAACGTTCCTTTTACTTTTTTTAATGGAAGACAAACATTAATTCTAAACAAAATGTATATCCGTTTTGAAGTTAACAAGGAAGACCTGGACGGGCATTCTTAGAAAGGAGAAATAAAGGTAAAAGTAAACTTATGGTCTTCCATTCAAGCACCGGCTTCCAACGAAACAGTCTCGAGTATTCCTGCATGAAGAATGACACTTCATGGCAATCAGCCTAGGAAGTCGAAGAAGGAACTAACCGTTATTTTCATCTCACTGTGGGCAGCGACAGGATTCAAGAAATATTTCTTGAGAGAACATTGGCAGATGGAACCAGTAGCATAGCTCCTTATAGTTTTTAACTTTTTAATACTACCAGAGTAGCAATGCCGGAATTCTTAAAGGAAACCACGCAAAAAATCTGATCAAGGCATGAGTTACTAGGAATGGTTACGTCCCGCAAGGGACGCTGACTTCTCAATACCAATGAAAAAACATTTTTTCTGAAATCCCAATGTCGGAAAAAGATATCAGTACTTCCTGAGTCAGAGACAGCAGCCGAAGAGAGAGTTTCCCGCAAAACTTTCAGCGGCGCGAAAACAAAGAGCCTTGGTTGCCCAAATCCGAAAATTCGCTTCCCTATTTACACAGCAATTTACGTTTTTTGCCAAAACCTGTCCCGCTCGCAAGTCAAATTAAAGCCAAAACAGTTCTTCCAGGGTCTAGAACTTTTCGCCGTCGCCATTTCACAATGGCCGTTTTGCCGGGGCCGTCGGGACGTTTCGCAATCGTGATGTTTCGCCGTCGGGATGTTTCGCCGTCAATATCCTTTGCATGACTGTACTATATCTTGCCGTATTATACTCGTATTAAATTTAAATAGTTTAATAATTTTGTTTACTTTTTGTATACTTAATGAATCTTGCTTGTAATATTAAATATAGTTGTTTACAAGTATGAAATATAAAGAAATTACTCATTGTTAATTCAGAAGTCAAACAACAAAAATCAGCGTTATATTTACAAAAACTGTGAAAATTGTTATATGAAATGTTATATTTACAAAAACTGTGTTTACTGTGAAAATTTTGTAAATATAACGCTGATTTTTGTTGTTTGACTTCTGAATTAGTATTTATTCGGCGTGTTATTGTGTCTTAATTACTCATTGTTAGTTAGAAAATTATGTCAGCATCAAAGAGAACTGGGGGTAAACCTCTGATGTAACAGAAGTTATATTATCGATTTTAAAATTATGCTCGTACAATATTTACATGATTCGACAAAATTTCTTGAAATTTTAATCGATTAGCTCAGAAAAATCACTCCGCAAGCAGTAAAGTGACATTTTTATGACATCTGAATTGAAAATAGAATTACTTTGAAATCTTGTCAGCACATTACTCTCTTAAAATTAATATTTCATGCGTAACTTCGCATTTGTATAAAATTGTACACAAAAGCATTTTATGTAATTATTTCATTAAATTAAATTATTAAATTGAACAGAATTACTATACTAAATCAACTTAATATATTACGGCAAGATATAATACAGTCGTGTAAAGAAAAAATATGTCTTGACCGCGAAACGTTCCGACGGTGAATAATCCCATTCCCTTCGTTCAAGCCAAAACCCGTGACCTCTGAAAGTATCCTCTCCGTTAACTCCCCTACTTTCGTCAAGGGAAAGCATGTACCATCCTCGAAAATAAGGTCAGCAGCAAGGAAAATGTTCCAGAAATTACCAGATGGAAGGAATAAAAAAGAGGAAAAAAAGGCGCGATAATAATAACAATGATTTGAATGTATATAAAATACTTTGAAAGTGATTTATAGTGTCATAGAGTGTATCTTTCATAAGCAAAAAACATAATAAATAAGCGTGAAAGAACTGCATGACTATGAATACGATTTTACTCATTCAAAAATATCAGGAATTAAACAAAACAAACACATGCAGAAACTCAAATTATTCAATAATTAAAACAGGTTACGTGCCTAAGATTCGATTTCAGTAAATAAAATAGCTTAGCTGCAACATTGATCAAAGGGGCTTAGCAGTATGGTTATTTATAGGCTTGTTTCAAGCAAACATAAATACTATCCAGAATTTCCGAAGCTTCTCCACGAATGTATTGCATAAATATATGTAACTCTCCTGTGGTTTACTTTATCTAGAACCTGTTTTCACGTAAATATGTATTTTATAATTATTGTTGGTAAGATGTTAAATAACGTTTTTGCTCCAAAGCACAACGTTAGAGTTGAATGGTTTAATTTGGCAAAATAAAACTTTCATTAACTGCAGATGATAGGAAATATTTCATTTTGGACACAAAGCTGTCATTATACTTGTATGATGAAGGGAAAAATCTAATCATTGACTTCGAATTTTCAATAATAATTTTATGATAATGTTAAACACAGAAAATGCCGTGGTTCGCAAAGCAAATATTTATTACTGAGATACGCAGAGATACACGCAGTGTTACATGCAAAGAAACACAAGCAACGATAAGTACAATCAGAGTAATACAAGCAGAATAATACAAGCAGAAATAATATAAGATCATATGCTTTATTATAGTTTCAGTTACTATGTTTCATATGCAGGCATATCAGGAACTAGAGTTCGTTAGCGAGCTGCCTGAGACTGGTGATTGAGTTTTGAATTGAGGTAGGCCGTTCTTTAATCGGCGAGGCGATGGTGGCAAAGCCACACTAGTTTAGCAGTGAAGTGTGAGCAATTGTAGTAATTTTTGTATGAGTGGTAGCTGTAGTGACGGTGTCCGTATTAATGCCTGCGTTAAGGGCAAGTATATGTGCTGGGATACCTGTGTTTTTCAACAGGGATTGGAGTATATCGAAGGTTTGATATTTCTGGATTATGATGGAATTGGAACTGATTGAAAGAAGTTGGTGGAAAGAGTTTGCGTATATATTCTGCAATGGTATTGATTTTGAGATCTGTGTGAATGGTGTTATTTGGGAATAAACCAAGGTGCATTTACAATTTCACGAAGCATTTTATTTTGAAGAATTTGTAGTTTTTTTAATGTGCATTTTTGCCGCGCTTGTCCCCATATAGGGCAGGCATAGAGAAGAGCAGGTCTGAGTATCATTTTGTAAAGTATGATTTTGTTGGGTATGGAAGAGTACACTGTGTCTGCCTAAGAGTGGCCGCATAGTGGCCGCTGTCATTTTAAATTTTTCTGTGACAGCACTGAAGTGTTGCCTAAAGGTGAGTTTGCTGTCCAGAGTGATCCCTAGGTATTTCACCTCGGAGACCCATTCTATATCATCATCAAAAAATTTGGGGTGGTGCTGGGGTGTAATTGGAGGTACCTTTACGAAAGATGATTGCTTTTGATTTATTAGTGTTGATTGCTATTCTCCAAAGTGTGAACCAGTGCTCGAGTGCTATGAGGATAATGCTGTAATTGAAGTCGAATGTGATTTGTATGTATTGCCCTCGTGAGAATGGCCGTATCATCAGCGAAGAGTGCTAGTGTGATAGTGGCATCTTTGGGTATGTCATATGTATAAATATTATAGAGTAGGGGGGAAAGAACTGCTCCCTGGGGGACGCCAGCTGTGATGGGTCGCGTATGGAGGAGTGCGTATTGCGAATTTTGATGGTAAATGTGCGATTACTAAGATATGAAGCTATTAGTCGAATAAGATGATCTGGGAAGTCCAATTTGATAAGTTTGTAAATGAGGCCTTTGTGCCATACTCTGTCAAATGCTTTTGACACGTCTAAGAAAATTGCTCCTGTGGGAATTTTGGCATTGCAACTATCTGTAATGTAACTGATGACTCTTAGAAGCTGATGCGTAGTGCTGTGTGAAGTGACGAAAACCAAACTGTTCTGAGGGTGTGTAATGGCTGACTGGAATGTTTTTTGTGAATGATAATACAAAATAATTTTTTCCGTGATTTTAGATAGGACTGCTAAGCAGGCTTATTGGCCTGTAGTTCTGTGGAAATGTATTATTTTTGTTTGGGTTTTGGGAAAACTATGATAGATGCATTTTTCCAGGCTGATGGGAAATACGAGTATTTGATAATAGCATTGATGAGTTTAGTAATGTAAGTAATCCCATTTATGGGGAGATTTTTTTAATGCCTTTGTTTGGGTATCCTGTCTTGGCCAGAAGCTTTTTTTTATTTTTAAGTGCACTGATAAATTGAGCAACAAGTGTTGGTGTGGCAAGAAAGGTGAAATTTAAGTGGAGCCGGAATGCCAAGATAGCTATCAACCACTGTGTTGACGTGATCAATATGATCATTGTCATAAGGGGCTGGATTTGGAGTAAAAGAGTCTTGAATGACATCTGCTATTGTGTTGGCCTTGTCAAGATCAGAGTAAAGCCATTCCCGACGGTCCATGTAAGGGGGGGATTTGCTTATAGGAGTTTTTGAGTTTACGAGAGATGTCGTACAGTGAGTTATCTTCAGTGGATAATGTATTTAGAAAATTTGTCCATTTGCTGCTTTCTGTACTCCTTGATTGCTCTTTTGATGCTTTTTTTGGAAGTGAATTTGAGTCTGCGTTTGGCCTGAGGGTCTCGGGTGTTTTGCCAATGTTTGCGTACTCTGTTTTTTTATGATTATCTGCTCCCTTATGTTGCGTGGAAGGGGTTGGAAACGTCTGTTGACATAGAATGTATTAGTAGCGTCATTAATGGCTGCTTTGATCTGATTGGTGAATTGTTCAACTTCCTTATCAATATCCTCTTTATTATTAATGAGGGGGTTGCCTGGAGACTGTACTGGAAATAATATTAGTAAATTTGGGCCAGTTTGTAACACCAATTGAGCGTAGTAGTGAAGGAGGGCTAGCATTTGCAGTAATACTGGATTGTGATCTGAAGAAAGTGCTGGGATTGAGGTAATTTCATGCTGGTATGGAAAATCCCTTGCGATGAAGAAAGTCAATAATTGTCGATCTGTTTAGGGAGAAATGCGTGGGTTCTTCTGGTGCTAGCAGTGAGTAATGATTTTGATTAATGAGATCAAAAAGTAAGTTGCCATTTCTGTTTGCTCGTCCAGGATTCCAGCTAGGGTGCTTTGCATTATAGTCACCTCCTGCTATTGATTTGGGGTGTATAGTGATCAGGCTATTGAGTTCTGTAATGTTTAGGTGATTTGTGGGTGGTATGTAAATATTGGTAATTGCAAATGAGGTATTGTCAATTGTGATAATGACATTGACGTTTTCAAAGCTGTTTGTGAGCACTGGCTTGTGGAAGTGTGAGATACTGCTTTTAACATACGTGATGACCCCGCCGCCTCGTCCTGAGAGTCTATCACATCTGTAGGCAAAGTAATTTGGAAAGAGGACCGTCCTGGCTGGCTTGAGATGAGTTTCCTGCACTAAAATTCTAATATGAGGTCGCTTAATTCATCTTTTCTGGAGAAGAGTCCATTGGCATTCTAAGTGAGAATGCTGTAGTATCTGCTATTATTTGCTGCTGGGAGAGTTAAATGTGACTAGTGATTTTTTTCAATAATGTCCACACTATTATTTCTATTTTGTCAAATATTGAAGTTTTTTGTTTGATTGTTTTTTTTTATTCCCGTTTTTGATGTCATTCCATATGACTTTTAGCGATTGAGACTGAGAGGTCATCAGAGCTTTGCATTATCTCTGAGGTTTCTGTCTGGGCTGCAGCAGCTGGTTCTGTGAGTGGCGGGAAATTTTCTGTATTGCTTGTCCAGGGGTGGCTGGCTTGGGATGAAATTGTCAGTTTTCATTTTTATCTTTGGTATAGCCGGGCAACCGGAAAAGGACGCAGGATGTGGCCCCCCGCAGTGACAGCACCTTGCAGGTTCTTCTGGTTTTAATTGACATTCGCCGGACGTCGAACGATGTGGGCCCCCACATCTCACACACACCCATTCTCTTGTACATAATAATGAGTTGTGGAAGAACCCCTGGCACCTATAGCACTGTGGAGGTCCTGGTTTTCTTTTAAGTGCCTCTACGGTAACTCTGAGATAGCCAATGTAAGTGAGGTTGTAAATGGTTTTGTTTTGCTCGTTTTTTGGCAAATGCACTAGAAAGAGCGGCATTGGTTTGTTTTCGCGTCTATTTCTAAGATTAGTTATGTAGGTAGCTCCATATCCTTGATTTCTTAATTCTTGTACTATGTACTGATGGTCCATAGTAACAGGCAGTCCTCGTATGACAATTTTTAAAACCTTTTCATCTTGAAGTTGGATAAGGTATGAGATTTTAATTTTTTTTTTTTCTCCTTAATGACTTCTCTCACATATCTGTGAGCATCTGCATCAGGGAGAGTCACATGCAATTTGGTGCCTTTTAATTGGCCTGTAATTGTTTTCCCCGTTTGAACACTAAGCTCAGCCAGGAATTTATCAGCTTGAGGGACATCATCTATAATAATTGGCGGGACTCTGATTTTTCTACTGTTCGAGGGCTCAGGGGCCGCCGGATTATGTGTACCCTCACTTTCATTTTCCATTTTCCATTTTTCCTCATTCATTGTCTATATTAATTTCACTCATTTCTGTTTCTAGTCCACTGTATCTGTTAGCGGTTTTAATGGCAGGTTCAAGTTGTTCTGTGTCGGAGTTTGTAGAAGCCGAAGAACGGCGCCTATGTCTTTTACGTTGCTCCTTAAATGGTTCTCCATGTAAGGCGTTCATTAAAAGTGGTCGACTTTTTGTTCCAATTCTTTAATTTTTTGGTCACGATATTCAATTTCAGTAATTGCTTGGTTTTCTTCTAATACACGTGTTTTTGTTTAAGATGCATATTAGAAAGTGTTGCAGTCTATGTGAAGCATGATAAGTAATTGTTTCACTAGTTAATATGTCTTGAGCTAGTGCAGAGAGTCTAGCGCATTCCTCAACAGTGGAGAGGATGTGTAATTGTTTTTCCAGGTACGTGATAAACTGGTCAGTTTCCGCTTCATTTTGGAGAAGCTTTTTTCTTTCCTCCGGATAAGCAATGATCTTTGAAATTGGTGAGCTAGGTGGTGAGTGCGACATTTTATCTCTATTCTTTTCTGGGCTGATATCTGGTGGAATTGCAGCAGAATCCTTAAAATGATCTGTCATTGTGTATCATGTAATACTCAAAAAGAGTATCGACCGCAGGAACAGGAGAAAAAAAAAAAAAAAATCGAAGAGCCACTTTGCCCGCACCGCGCCGGGTGTGCAATAGGTGGAATCTCCGATGAATACAACCAGTGCCTCTGTCAAGCGCGCCGACACGCAAGCTTGGAGGGTACTCTGGTTGCAGAACGACCAAAATTCTTATTTCTTGTTAATCACAAGAAATTATTTGCACAGAGATTCCGTGCGATAAGCATATATGGCACAAAGCGAATAACGGTCGAGTAAATTACTTAACAACGAACAATCTCAGCCACTATAACATCAAATAAATAAAAATGATTGTTAAAAACTCGGACCTGGCTGAAAGCTAATGAATGTATTGGACGAAAGCTATACTTTCTTTTAATCAGTAAAAAAGCGATTACAAATATCTCAACAGATAAGAAATAGTAAAAATTATTGTGTCTAAATAAATCAAAATGGGAAGATCACATTAAAAATGCCAGTATTATTGCAATTCAATCCTCACTAAAGGCATTCTGACTGTTTTTATTCTAAGAGAATTCGATTAACATGTAGACAAATTCAACAGCATTATTTAACCTAAGTTTAACATTAATACTTCATCATATTTTAGAAATAATACCCTATTTTAATAATAATATGTTGTATAAGAGTAATAGCAGTAAACACTGACTTGAATGTTTAATTTTGAGTAGTAACTTTTCATACAATATAATCTAATTTAAATGTTTTTTTTTTACATTTAATGGTTGAAACGATTACAGTATTCTTCATTACTAAAGGGAGAAAGAAGAGGAAATTGCTCGCGAAAGAAAAAATAAATACTTGATGTTAGCTTCCAGGTTTTTCCTTCCTAGAGAATAGGATGTACTCTCCTGCTTTTAGAGCTAATAA